GCCCCCCCTACTTTCCCTCCTCCTAGCCCCTAGCTCCACCACCAAGTGGTCTTGCTGTTTATTGTCTCAGAAGGATAGGAACTGGTATTTTAGAATTCACAGAACTTCTGAAAACATGTCTCCTATCAGAGACCACAGTTTTAGAGCTTTCCGGCGATACTAGAGGGGAATATACAGTCTCTGCATGAGCTGCCTGTTAAGGAGGCGCACACCTAGCATCCAAATACCCCCACCCTGACCCAGGCTCCCGTGGGGTCTCAGCCAACCTGGTGATGCCACCGGGTTCCCTCAAGGCCAGACCTCTGCAGACCACACCCCTACTCGTGACCTCAGGCTGCCCTGATCCTGTGTGTCTGCCAGGCTGGGGGGCACCTGGAGTGGGCTGACTCAGACCTGCTCCTGTCTGCCGCTTTGGGCCCCAGCTCAGGCCTGGGGCCTGTCCAGTCCCTCGCAGAGCTTGTCGGGCCCTGCAGAGGGTGCTTAGATGGGAGGGTGAGGTGCGCCTAGCTGAAGAGCGCCCCCTGGAGGGGGTGGGTCCCTGTGACACTCACCGGGCCCTGTGTGCTTTCTCGGGAAACACGTGAGTTGTTTAAAGATAAAGTGTGTGGAACTTACGACCTGGGAGCAGGCGTCCTCGGCCAAGAGCAGCTTTGCCCCCTGGGGTATTTGGCAAACTCATTGCTCGACATCCCGCAACAGCCTAGGACAGCCTGAGACACAGAATCTCTGGCCCAAAGTGTCAGTAAAGCCAGCGTGGGAGCCCGGCCCCTAGAACGTTCTGGTCTGTCAGAAACATCTCATCACTGAGCTTAAGTTAAACTCCTGTTCCTGCTTTTAAGAGGGAGTCACTTCCTACACTCACTCGGATTTATGACTTCACTTCCATTGGCCCAAGCAAACCTCTTGTGCTGATTCCTAGTTCCCAAGTCTCTGTAGAAAGCGAGTCTCTCAGAGTCGGCCGGCGGGGACCTGCTCCTGACTTTCCATTGGTCTTGTTTCCTCACAGACACGCTGCCCCGGGGCCTAGGGCCCAGGGCCGGCCTCAGGGCTCCCCCGCCGACCCCCCAGGAGAGGGGGTGTTCCGGGAGTCTCCCCACCCCGGGGGTCCCACTGGAACCTGTTCAGCCCCATCGCTGGCCCCTCGGCCCTCCCCAGCCTCCCCCAGCACTGCGTCCTGGGCAGAGGGCGGGTCAGCGAGCCTGGGCCCGTGTCTCAGCCTCGGCTCCTGGCGAGTCTCTGCTGCCTGAAGGGCTGTTATGGGGCTCAGGTGGTGTCCAGGTGGAGACTTGGCACCTGTGGGCCCTTAGGACCTGGGAACGTGCCTTCTGGCTGTAGAAGCTTGATGCCTAAGACCACTGCTCAGCTACCCCCAGGGAATTTTAGCAAGACAAAGAGGTCTAGACTCCAAGTCAGAATCTCCTTCAAGCCCTCAAGTTCCGGTTTAAATTTGCAGTGCATTCAGCTGTCATTTCTTTCCACTGGAAAACTAAATGGTCAGGCCTCATCGTACTGTTAATAGGCTTTGTTTTCATAACAAACGACTTCCTACCGAAGTTCCCTTGATCACTTGTCATTACCAGACAGTTGGCTGATCTGTGTTACAAAGAGACGACAGCATTCAGAGAGGCCGGAACCAGACCACCTCCTTGCAGTTCCAGCCTCCTTTACAAGCTGTGTGACTTTGGGGAAGTTACATACTTTCCCTGTGCTTCCATTTCCTCATCTGTATAAAAGGGGAACAATAAAACACTCTTCCCAGAGAGTTGTCATGAGGATTAAGCAGATGGTAGAAAGCATTTAGTCCCTGGCACAGGGCAACTCTGTATAAGGGTTCTTTAAAGTTAAAAGTAATTTCACAGCAGGCAGACTCTGAGTCCAGCATGAAGCCCACTTTATTTATATTCTCTCATTTAGCCATCACGTCCCCCATTTTACAGCTGGCAAGACTGAGGCTGGGGGAGGTGGATCCCATTATTCCCTCCCCAGCAGAGTGCTTACTGTGTGCCAGGCAGTCGCCCAGGTCATGTGCTCACATCCAGGGAGCAGGTCTGAGTCCGGCCTGCTGGGGCAGGGTGGCGGGGGTGCCTGGGTGCATCCATCTCAGTCTCCTTGTTCCCTCTGTGGGTTCCGGCTGTCTTGCTCCCCACTCTCCTCCACGATGACATTGAAAGGCATCGCCCTGCTGATCCTGCACTGCCTCCGGGTAGAGGTGTGGTCCCCAGGTGCTGTTCGGACATTGGCAGCGGGGTCCGGAGGTGAGGTGTGCGTGGCGGTCGCTCTAAAGTGACCGACCGACCCCATAACAGCCACACACCCCTCCCTCTGCAGGGCCGACCAGGGACGGCTTCTGGACTGCGTGGTGCGGTGGGGGAACCTCACAGAGGGGAAGATCCGGGCGTACCTGGGGGAGGTTCTGGAAGCCGTGCGATACCTTCACAACTGCAGGATAGCGCACCTGGACCTAAAGGTGAGCGGGGCCCCGGAGATGGGAACACCAGGTGGCCCCAGCGCATCCACGTGGGATACGACGCCCGCTCCCGGGCCATCCTCTGGATCCAGGCCAGGAGCCCCCCGGGAACCAGGAGAGATGCAGGGGGTGGGAAATGGGAACACGGATGTCTAGTCTCTGCTCTGGAGTTGGCTTTTCAGTAATGTAAACAAACCGGAACCTAGTAGACTAATATGTCAGATCTGCAGATAGTTCATAGAGTTCCTGGGGCGGGAACAGGGCGGGGTGACGAAGGCAAGGAGGCGCAGTGTAGCCGTAGATGCCAGGAAGGAGAGTGAATCCCAGGCTTCGTACAGCAGTGGCCCTTGGAAGTCCCAGACAGCAATGGGTCCGTGTCGCACATGAACAGTTGACCTCATAGATTCCTGGAGAGCCCCAGCCCAAGAGCGGGGTGGTGGGAGTCCCCTGACGGCTGTCTTGCCATGTCTCCCAGCCCGAGAACATCCTCGTGGATCAGAGCTCAGCCAAGCCAACCATCAAGCTGACCGACTTCGGAGATGCCGTCCAACTCAACACGACCTACCACATCCACCCGTTGCTGGGGAACCCCGAGTTCGCGGCCCCCGAGATCATCCTGGGGAACCCGGTCTCCCTGACCTCGGACACATGGAGCGTGGGCGTGCTGGCCTACGTGCTTCTCAGCGGCGTGTCTCCCTTCCTGGACGACAGCGTGGAAGAGACCTGCCTCAACATTTGCCGCCTGGACTTCAGCTTCCCAGAGGACTACTTCCAAGGAGTGAGCCAGAGGGCCAAGGACTTCGTGTGCTTCCTACTGCACGAGGACCCCGCCAAGCGCCCCTCGGCTGCGTCGGCCCTCCAGGAGCGGTGGCTGCAGGCGGGCCACGGCCACGGCAAAGGCGCGGGCGTCCTCGACACGTCCAGACTGACCTCCTTCATTGAGCGGCGCAAACACCAGAACGACGTTCGACCTATCCGTAGCATGAAAAACTTCTTACAGAGCAGGCTTCTGCCTCGAGTTTGACCTGTCTTGAAGTCCTTTCTCATTCTCTTTCACCTGCCAATCAGCCGTTAAATCTGACTTTTTTTTTTTTTTTGGAAGCGAAAACAACAAACCAACGACTGTGTAAGCAGTCCGCTGCCTGATTGTCCCGTCGTGTGACACCGCGTGCGTTCCCGAGCGAGCCGTGCCCTGCAGCTGCCTGGGACTCGGGCCACAAGCCCTGTGGGGTGGGGGGGTGGAGGCCTTCTGGAACACTCTGCGAGAGCGGAGACAACATTGCTGGGTCACAGTCTTTTATTCAGGTTTCTGCAAAAAAAAAAAAAAATTAAAAAGAAACTTTTTTAAATGAACACGAATAGCATTTTGCAAATTGAAAACATTTTCCAGGATTTATTCAAGGAAACAAATGCCTATGTTCAACCACTGGTGTTAACGAACAAAACAAGATACTGGACACCTCTGGGGAAGACACCCCCCCACCCTACCCCCAGCGGCAGCCTCATCCAGCTCGGGGGTCCCCCTGGCTCTGAGCTTTTCCAGCTACCCCGTCTGTGTGCCTCTCGCCAGGACGCCAGACTGGGCTTCTGAAATGTGCGTTCAACCTCAAACTTTTGCATAAAAATAGAATGAATCGTTTTGCTCTGATGAAATGTAGGCCTTACTTGTACATAAGACTGGTCCTGCCTTCGGTCTGTCCTTTCTCCCCACCCCTGCCTTCCCACCCACCGCCCGGGGCTTCCTTTAGCGGGGGTTCAAGGGGTCTGCCCATCCACGAGGAGGTCAGGTTGGGTCCTGCCCTGCTAGCCCCTCCCCACCCCCCGTGTCCCACCCCTAAGCCGTCAATCAGATTGTTGAGCAGTATACAGTCAGATGAAAATACTGTAAATGCACTCATTGGGGTTTTTTTTTTTTTTTGGTTTTATTTCATATCATGTGCAATGTTGTGGCTTTAACATTTTATGCAACTATTTATGAAGACCTCTGTTGTACCTGTAATAAATATATAGAAAAAGCACATATTCGTACAGTGAGATTTATGGTTTTGTGCGTGTGTCGGGGGCGGGGTGGGGGGTGGGGTTCGTAGCCCTGTGCCATCGGTTCAAGGAGACAACTCTTGGTGAAATTTGTCAGTTTTGAGGACTGTAAAAAGTGATTTCATACTCTGAATATAAAACTGGATAATAGGGTAATGTTTTAAATTTTATTATGCTATTATTCAGAATGCCAAAGTATTATTTTTTTTCCCAAAATCAGTCTGGACATTTCCTACTTTTTAGACTTTTTGACATTCAACTTTCTGTACAAAAATTGGCTGGATTTTGAGATTTTGGTAAGAAATAAAAGCCAATTAGGCACCAGCCGCCTCGAGGCTGGCATTGATGTCTGTGGCACTGTAGTGTGGGAGGCCCTCAACAAAAGACGCTGGGTTTCTGGGCACGCTTGAATTTTTCTGGATGTCTTTTTATCTTTGTTGTGTGAAGTACACTTTAAAAAAAAGACCAGCCCGCTTCCCAAGCCAGCCAGACACCTGGGTCTTCAGCCATAAACTGGCATAGTTCAAGCTTTGCAGCTTCCAATGTATTTTTATTTATTCTTTTGTTGAATTTTTGTTTGTTTGTTCCTTGTAAAATTGTACAGAAACTTTTTAAAAGAAATTGGATTCAAAACTGGATGTGTATTCGTAACCTCACAACTTTTATTTGTGTATTGTTTCTTTTATTATTTCAGTTAAATTTTTACATTATTTTGCATGTATATTTCTTTGTACAGAGACCTTACATGTTTACACAGTATGATGTGATGTAAATATTTTATTTTGCCATCAGTTATTTTAAAAAATTAAACATATTTGCCTGATGTTTGTGTTAGACCTTTTATTTAAATTGGTCACTGTTGAATCAAAAAGAGATGGATGAGGGAAACCCTGAAGGGGAGGCCTCTGCTGAGTCAGGAGTGGGCGTGGGGAGAGGAGTATTCTGGATTGGGAACCCACGGTAGGCCACATCCAGAAAAGGGAGTCTGGTGAGGCTCCTGCAGACTGATTCACAACCCAGACTCAGAAGAAATCTGCCTGTAACCCAGAACATCAGCTGACTCTTTACGGAGAAGCTGTGCCTGTCCTGGTTAGAGTAACTAAGGCACCTGGTTCTTAATGAACACAGAATCCAAAAAGGAAAAGGCTGTCACATACTGGCCACAGAAAAGCAAAACTAACATTCAGATGGATTTAAGAACTTGAAGGGCTTCCCAAGTGGTACCAGTGGTAAAACCAGCTGCGGATGCTGGAGACTTAAGAGACACAGGTTCGATCTCCTGGTTCAGGAGGATCCCCTGGAGGAGGGCATGGCAACCCACTCCAGCTTTCTTGCCTGGAGAATCCCATGGACAGAGGAGCCTGGCAGGCTACAGTCCATAGGGTCACAGAAAGTCGGACCTGACTGTAATGACTTAGCACACACACAGGGACTTGAAACACTTAGGTTCAAGCACCTGAATTAGGAGCAAGCCCAAGAATCCGTGTCTGCAAAGACGCCCCAGTGGTGGCGTCTGCCTGCCCCTGACATCGGTCATCTTTCCTGATCATCTGTATCGTCTCTCTTGCTTTGATTCCTTTCTCCTTTTTAGAGTCGTTCCCCCAGCGATGGTGACTTTTTCCTTGGCACACTAAAAAGGTTTTATTTCGCATGTTTGCTAAAATCCTGGAGTTAAGACTACGTGTGAGAAGATGATTTGTGCTAAGACCCTGAGTCCGGGCACGGGGAGCTGGCTGTCCCAGGGGTGTGTGTGCTTCCTCCCGGGCCCCCAGGGCCAGCGATGTTCTGTGGGCTCCAGAGGATGGAAACGCAGGGTCAGTTCTGATAGCAGCTCAGTGTCAGGCCCCGGAGGGAGTCCTGTGGCCACCACGGGCCACCGCAGCAACAGGAGGGAGGCCAGGCTCTGCTGTTTTCCAGACACCTGCTGGAGGAAGTGGTCATGCCTGTGGGTTAGCAAAGCATCGCACCCGTGAGGCATGGCCCGTCACGATCACTACCTGGATCTCTCAAATAGCAAGATATTGTTCTGCCTGATGCAAAGAGCCAGCTCTCTGGAAAAGACCCTGATGCTGGGAAGGACTGAAGGCAGGAGAAGGGAACGACAGAGGATGAGATGGTTGGATGGCATCACTGACTCGATGGACGAGTTTGAGCAAGCTCTGGGAGATGGTGATGGACAGGGAAGCCTAGTGTGCTGCAGTCCATGGGGTCACAAAGAATCAGACACAACTGAACAACTAAACAATTCTGCGTGTTACTATTTACATATAGTTTTTAAATACCGGCATTCTCATTAGCTCTAAAGGGAAAAAAAAAAATTGCCAGTATTTTCATGCAATAAATTATGCAAGGAAATCGTAGCAAGTCACATCCAAAAAATCTTTGACCGGTTTAGACCACTGGAGGGAAAAGTCCTTTCAACGGTACATTTTTGAGACATAGCTGTAGAGACAAAGACTTTGAGGGATTGACAGGTTGTTCTGTATGTGATTTAACCTCAGGGTTAATCCTTGTATCACTAGGCAATATACCCTATTCTCTCTAGTAATTTTCTTTGTTCTGATAATCTGCTTCATCTGATATTAATGTAGTTCACTCCTACTTTTTTTAGTTCATTTATTTATTTATTTTTGATTGTGCTGGGTCTTCATTGCTTTGTGTGGGCTTTCTCTAGTTGCAGTGAGTGAGCGCTACTCTGGTTGAGGTGTCCAGGCTTCTCATTGAGGTGGCTTTTCTTATTGCGGTGCACAAGCTCTAGGGTGCAAAGGCTTCAGTAGTTGTAGCACGTGGACTCAGTTGTTGGGACTCCTGGTCTCTAGCACACAGGCTGAAGAGTTGTAGTGCACACGCTTAAGTTGCTCCTCGGCAGGTGGGATCTTCCTGGACCAGGGATCAAACCAGTGTCTGCTGTCTTGGAGGACGTGTTCCTTACCACTGAGCCACTAGGGAAGCCTTTTTTTTAAGTTAAAGTTTGCATGGTATAGCTTTCTCCATCCTTTAACTGCTAACATACCTATATCATTGTACATGAGTAGATTTCTTACAGACGACATATAATTGGATCATAGTTTTTAATCCACTGCCCATTTATGTTAGTGTACTTAGGTTACTTGCATTTAATGTAATTATTGGTAAAAAAGTAAGGCTTACACCTGCATTTTTATTTTTTGGCTTATTTTTCTTTTGTCTGGTTTCCATTTGTGTTTTCTTTTGCCTGCCTTCCTGTGGGTTGCCTGAGCACTTTTAGAATTCCATGTTGATTTATCTCTGCCAATTTTTGAGCATAGCTGTTTGTATTGTGTTAGCAGTTTCTGTAGTATTGTATTATATATAGATGACTCATCACAGCCTACCTGTGTCATCATTTTACCAGTTTCTGTGAAATATAGAAACCTTTCCTCTCTCTGTGTCTCATTACCTTCTCCAGTTTGTAATTGTTTTAAATGTTTCCTCTACAGACATTTAAAGCCACATCACACAACTTTGCTTCAATGATCAAACATAATTAAAAAGACCAAAATGTATTCCACTTAACTCATGTTTTGACTCCTTCCATCCCTCTTTCTTTCCTCCTGTTACCCAGGGTTTCTTCCTATATCCTTCCTTTAGAGAGCTAACTTTAGCCCCTCTTTTAGGGTAGTTCTGCCAGCAACATGTTCTTCGTTTTCCCTCATCTGCTAATGCCTGCGTTTACCCTTTCATTGAGCAACTGAACTGAACCCTTTCTTTTCATTCCTGGTATTTTCCCTGGATATGGAATTTGGCCCTGACAATTCTTTCCTCTCAACACTTAAGAGATGCGCCCCTTCCTTCAGGCCTTCACGTTTCTGATGAGAAATCTACTGTCATTCAGATTTACATTCAAATTTTTTCTCTTACGAGTAAGATGTTTCCCCCTCATTTTCAAGGTTGTTTTTTTTCCTTTGTTCTTAGTTTTCAGAAGTTGACCATGATGTATCTTAGTGTGGATTTGTGTTTATAGTCTGTCTGAGGTTTCATTCAGATTCTTGAATCTGTAGGTTCATATCTTTCATCACTTTTTCATTTTTTTCAAGTACTTTTAGAGCCATGCCTTTTATCTTCTTCAAAGACTTGAGTGATGTGAGCGCATAAACTTTTTTTTTTTTGGTCCCATGTGTGTGTTTTTTTTTTGTTTTGTTTTCTTTTTAATTGGATTGGGTCTTAGTTGCAGTGTGCAGGATCTTTCATTGTGGTGCACATGCTTCCTCTAGTTGTGGCACACCAGCTCCAGGGCTGGTGGGTTCTGTATTTGCAGTAGGCTCAACTGCCCCACAGCAGTAGGATCCCAGTTCCCCGACCAGGGTTTGAACCTGTGTCCCCTGTGTTGGGAGGCAGACTCTTAACCACTGGACCACCGCAGAAGACGTGGTCCCACAGGTCTTTGAGGTGGTGTTCTTCCCCCTACCCCGAGCTACTCCTCTTTGTTGTTCAATCTGGATAATTTCTATTTTTCTATTGGCCAGTACACTGACTCTCTCCTCTCTCCACTGCAATCTGCTGTTGAACCCATATACAGATTTTTTTTTTTTTTGGTTGTTGTATTTCTGTCTTCTAAAATTTCATGTGGTTTTTCTTTATGTCTTCTATTTCTTTGCTGAGACTTTTGATCTTTTCATTTATTCCAAGCAAATTTGTAATTGTTCCTTGAAGGATTTTTTTCATGGCTGCTTCAAGCCTGCTGGCAGATAATTCTAATACCCCTGCCATCTCATGAATAGTGTCTATGCCTTATCGTTTTTTCATGCGAGTTGAAATTTTTCCGGTTGGCCTCATGAATGAGCTGCACTTGAAGTGGAGATGTTTTAAGATATTAGTTTGTGAGGCCCTGAATCTCACTGAACCCTTCCGATTTAGCTGGCCTCCTCTGATAGCATTCCAGCAGGGGAAGGGGGCTGGTGCCGGCTCATTAATGATGATCAGGGTTGTGGGTTCCACAGGCCCTCCCTGGATACCACGGGGAAGAGTCAGGTCCTGACCCTGTACTAGGCCTCCTCTGACACCATCCCTGGGTGAGGAGGGGAGGGCTTGTATTGCTTTGGTAGGAGTGGGAGCAGACGTATGGTCTCTGCACAGAATCCACTGATAACAGGGGTAGGGGGTCTTGTTACTGCCCTTCAGGGATGAAGGTCCTAGCTCCCTATTTGGCCTTCCCTAACACCACCTTGTTCGGGGGTGGGGGGGGCTCATCCCCATGACCAGCTGACAAGGGTGGGGCTCTCCGTTCCCCACTCAGTCTTTGCTGCTGGGCTGGGAGTGAGACTTGGTGGCTCAGACGGTAAAGAATCCACCTGCCAATGCAAGAGATATAAGAGACACGGTTCGATCCCTGGGTTGGGAAGATCCCTTGGAAGAGCGCATGGCAGCCCACTCCAGTGTTCTTGCCTGGAGAACCCCCATGGACAGAGGAGCCTGGTGGGCTACAGTCCCTGGGATCGCAGAGTCGGACATGATGGAAGCGACTTGGTGGGCATGCACGCATGGGGGTGAGACCACAGTGTTCTCTGTAAGTGTCTGCCTGGGCTAAGAAAAGCTATCAACCAGAAGTTTCTGTCTTGCAAGACTGCCCCTTTCCAGGTCCTTTGTCTAGACAGAGCAGGGCTGGGTTTGGACTTTCGCTGACTGCATCCACTTAGCATTTCCCGATTGCAGACTTCTTCAGCTCTAAGACCGGCATCTGAGGCAAAAAAGAAACCCAGAGAACTTGCCACTTTGAGGCTCCTCTGCCTTGAGCTCCCCCACTGCACGGCTTCCTTCCCTTCACCTTACAGTGTCTTCTGAAGTTGGCTTTATATAAAATATCCA